ATTGTACTTGTTTTATCCTTCTAATAAGAATGTTAATCTATCTTATTATTCCATTTATATATGGAATTTACATGTTTATCCCTTTAAGATTTTTGGGTAAGTTTATGTTTGTAAGATTTTGGGTGTATCCTTGCAGGTGAGGTTACATGAAGAACATGAAAGATGCTTACACTACCTGGAAGCTCTTACAAGGAAGCCACTTATAGCAATGGCAGAAAGACAACTGCTTCAACGTCATATACCTGCCATTCTTGATAAGGTGTCAATATGAATCTTCATTTGTTCATTGCACTTTGAATGCCTGCTTGGATTTGCATATTTTAATTTTTTAATACTTATCATTTCTCTGATTTACACAGGGATTTATGATGCTGATGGATGGACATCGTATTGAGGACCTTCAGAGGTTGTACTCACTGTTTTCAAGGGTCAATGCTCTTGAATCTCTCAGGCAGGTGTTAAACTCATATATTCGGAGAACTGGGCAAGGCATTGTCATGGATGAAGAGAAAGACAAGGACATGGTGCCTTCCTTGTTAGAATTCAAGGCTTCGCTTGACTCAATATGGGAAGAAAGCTTTTCCAAGAATGAGACATTTTGCAACACCATTAAGGATGCATTTGAGCATCTAATTAACCTTCGTCAGGTTAGCATGTATTATTTTATTTTTAAACTGCATTCTTATTGTTAAGCGTTAAATCAGTGAAGTAATATTCCTAATTTTAGATTACCATATTTTAAACTTGACTGATGGTTCAACTTTGTGCTGTGTTTAATAGAACCGACCCGCTGAGCTGATCGCAAAGTTTCTGGATGAAAAGCTTCGTGCTGGTAATAAGGGTACTTCTGAAGAGGAATTAGAGGGTACACTTGATAAAGTTTTGGTTTTGTTCAGGTTTATCCAGGTAGAGTTCATGTTTCCCAATAAAAATTATTCAATTTACTTTTGGCTCAAATAACCGTTTTCTTTTTGTGCATCTCTTGCTTTTCTTGTCCTACAATTTAATGCTAGAGATGTGAATAATATTTTTGTTGATAATTAAGGGCAAGGATGTCTTTGAAGCATTCTATAAGAAGGATCTTGCGAAAAGGCTACTTTTAGGAAAGAGTGCTTCTATTGATGCAGAGAAATCTATGATTTCTAAGGCCAGTATCTTCTTCTTTTGCATCAAATGGCATTTGTTCTAATGATTGTATTAAATTGTTATGTTATTTTGATGCTGCAGCTGAAGACCGAGTGTGGCAGCCAGTTTACAAACAAACTTGAAGGAATGTTCAAGGTCTGCTACTATATCTATTTATATAAATTTGTCCAAGAAATGCATTCAATATATATTTCCATTGGAATTTCTAATCTTGAATCTGGTGAACTGGTGCTTTTTGGGTTCTGTAAACATGGGCAATCCAATAACTCTTATAACCACTAAGAATATGTTACCCCATTGGTAGTGGTATCTGCTCCAGAGTGTTATTCCTCATGACAGTTGGATTAATTATGAGGAATCCCTTCAAACATTATGTAACGAACTTATGCTTATGTAACAAATTTATTGTGCCTTGAGGATAGATTATACAAATAAATATTAAAGTAACAGAATCATGTGAAGAGAGAAGAGAAGAGAAGAGCAAAGGATTCTAAGAGTTAAATTCATCTTTTATTTCTTGGATTAGCTACTTGTGTATCGGTCAAGGGATGATCCAACAATATACAAAATTTTTGGAGTTTGTGTAATACTGGAACTTATTTCTATGTGACTGGATTCTTATGCCTAGAATATGTTCACAGTGCAAACCACATTCACTCTTTTATTTCTTATACTTTGGTAGTCAAGTACCTGGAAACTGAGAAGAAATAGCACATTGAAAGGCACACTTGAATTTAGTTTCCCATTATACTTTCAGTTCGAGAGAAACTAGTGATCTGAGATTAATTTGAATGTGATATTAATGCAATTGTTGCCATAGATTAGAACTATGGGCTTGCTTTAGTAATTAAATCATGTTACATTTTATGATTGATCTTGCTGTATGTGGTTTAATGGCAAAGAGTCCTTGCTCTTTCCCAGAAAACATCTACTGAACTTGACATCAGAGGATGAACTTGGAAGATTCTTTCATTCTAAATGTCTGTCATCTATTTTCACAAATAGTCCTTCCCCTCTTGTCTGTGTATATACATGCATGTTTTGTTTGATATGTTGGAAATTGCAATATGAACCTTGATTGTATTGAATGTGTTGTGATTTTTATCCAGGATATTGAACTATCAAAGGAGATAAATGAATCATTCAAGCAGTCATCCCAGGCCAGGACGAAGCTTCCATCAGGAATTGAGATGAGTGTCCATGTCTTAACAACCGGGTAAATCATATTTCACCATTATTTGAATTAAATCACAACTGCATAATTAATTAGTTTATTGTCAAGGTATTTAATTCTATTTTGGTTGTTGAGCTGTGCAGGTACTGGCCAACATATCCACCCATGGATGTTAGGCTTCCTCATGAATTGAATGTCTATCAGGTTTGCTGCAGGCTTTGGGATGAAATGTTCACTGTTACAAACACCAGAGAGTTTTTATCTAAAACTTATCTTGACACTTCTACTTGGTGTAACAGGATATCTTTAAGGAGTTCTACTTAAGTAAGTACAGTGGGAGGCGCCTAATGTGGCAAAATTCATTAGGTCATTGTGTGTTGAAAGCAGATTTTCCCAAAGGTAAAAAGGAGTTGGCAGTTTCCCTATTCCAGGTTTGTTTCTCAGTGTCTCATGGGTCATTGTTCTTCTGTTGTAATTTTCTTATCTTTTCAAATTTTCTCTACAAGCAGACAAGTTCTAATGGTTTTCTGGGGTTGATGTCTTTTACCCTCTAGACTGTAGTTCTGATGTTGTTCAATGATGCCCAAAAGCTTAGCTTTCAAGACATTAAGGACTCCACTGGCATAGAGGACAAGGAATTGAGAAGGACCTTGCAGTCCCTTGCATGTGGGAAAGTAAGAGTCCTACAAAAGGTATGCCCATTTACCATTTTAATTTCTTATTTGTGCTGGTAAAGTTAGTACATTATCTCTTTTTCTTCATCCCATTTTTTTAATATCTTTTTTGAATTTGTGTGCTACAGTTGCCAAAAGGGAGGGACGTGGAAGATGATGATTCATTTATTTTCAATGAAACATTTACTGCTCCACTCTATCGTATAAAGGTACATGTAGTTGTATTTTCAAGATATGGTGGGTAAATACTTTTTGAAAGATCAAACTAAATTCCTGTTATGCTTATCTCTATGCTATTCCACTGAATTCACATAGATAGAGGATTTGTGCTGAATCTGACTTCATTGATTGCCACTCACATGATAAGGTATCAAACTGACTTCTCCTTTTGGAATGCAGGTAAATGCAATCCAGATGAAAGAGACAGTGGAGGAGAACACAAGCACTACTGAAAGAGTATTTCAAGACCGTCAATATCAGGTTCAGCTTTGCTTCACTTTCACATTCTCTTTCTTTTTATCTATCCGCCAAAAAAGTAAAATAAAAGAACAGAAAGCTATCTCATGTGGAGCTTAATCAAAATCATGCATTATCGCTTGATTTATTGCAGGTTGATGCTGCTATTGTTCGGATAATGAAGACGAGGAAAGTGTTGAGTCACACTCTTTTGATAACTGAACTCTTCCAACAGGTAAGTGTATTCTGATTTTTGGCATTTTATGTAACAAACGGATCTCTAAAGAGTTGCCAATAACATGCGGTCACAATCATAACCAAAAGTAAATAAATAAATGAATAAAGTGAAAGTTGGTATTATTATTAAGAGTTATTGTGCCAATATATTTTGATTTATATGAAGGGTGAAACTACACTTCATATATCATATTTAAAGTACTGCCATTGATGATCTCTAAACAGGGGGATCAAAGGGATAATCTGTTTTTAAGTTGCATTTGGACATACTTATATTAAGAATAAGTTTCTTTCATTGAACAGCTTAAGTTTCCCATAAAACCAGTTGATTTGAAGAAAAGGATCGAGTCTCTCATTGACAGGGAGTACCTGGAGCGGGACCAGAACAACCCGCAAATATACAATTACTTGGCATAGTTTACCCTTTTTTTTTTCCTTTCCTTTGATGATAGAAATCTCCTTGTAAAAGAAATGGGAAAAGTTGGTCTTCTCCAAGAGGCAGGGGCTGGATTCCCATGTCAGATCCATGTACAGTAACTTGTAGAATTTATTTTGTTGCAATCGAGATTGTAATTATAAAGCATATTTAGCCTCTGTTTTGATACTTGTTACAGACTTGTCACAGTTACTTGAATTGAGCTGCATTTTTTTCTTGGGTTATTTGTGTGTGTTTCCTTTGTTTCGGGACCTGTTTTATTTATTTATTTTTTTCTGGTAAAAGAGGAGGGTGGGGCTGTGTGCGGCTGCAGCCTGCATGGTTAAAAGCTGGAAAAAAAAGGGTTTCTACGAGTCTATTTTAGAAGATATAAGGTGGGTTGGATGAATAAGGTGTCATGCTTCTTAGTAAAAGAGGTGTATTACAATTTTAGTTGGATTTTCTTCTATGCACAAGTCTTAAGAATCAGTGGCAGCATGAGAATTGTTAAACCCCAACAAGCTGGGGTTGGGTGTGGATGGACTTAACAGTTTCTCAAAGCTCGTGGGTTTGTATTTCATGGAAGTCAATCACTGTAAACAAGTTGAAAAAAGGCTTTACTCATTCGACGCTTGACAAGACTCTTTGGGAACCGACCGCATAATGAACTATTCTAGAATACTGTAGATTTAAAACGAGTCAAAAATCTTGTATGAATCGATTTCAATGAATATAATCTCGAGTTTATTTTGTTTTATTTGATATGGATCAAAACCAACCAAACCACTCTTCCTTCACTTTCTGTGATGACAAATGGTATCTGACATTGAACTAATATTAACCTAAAATAAATACATCCGCTTCTCAAGTGATTCTTCAACCAAAGTCAGGACAGAAAATGGTCCAAATATAATGTAATAAGGATGGTACCATAATGAATTACCAAAACCATGTTCATTCATTCAGCGATATGATCTGGAAGTCTTAACAGAAAGAAAGAAAAAAATTTTCCACAAAATTTCCTAAACCCAATATACCCAATATAGCCAACAACAACAACAACAATAAGGAAACAAGTTATACACGTCCAACTCTTTTTTGCCACAAAAAAAGCCAAAATCTTTTGTAGCGATCATCAAACGGCTTTGGTTGAAATGGATGAAGAAGTTTCATTATTATCAGGCTGCGATTCGAGATCTGGGTGGCTTGGGTTGAGAGGGGCTCGAATGTCGTTGTTGTTGTTGTTGTTATCGTCGTCAGGGTCGTAATCAGGGTTAAGAGATCGGTCGATGGCTTGGCGGCCTTTCTCGAGGCAAGGCTTACAAGCGATCTCGATTGCTATCCATCCTAATACCACTCCTGCTATAGCTATCACCGCGCTTGTTATTGCTGCCATTCTTTTTCCTATTCTTTTTCTGGACAAGAATTTCAGAAGTATTTTGGGTTCTTAAGAAAATTTTGACTTTAGTCATGTTTCAGCCGATCTTAGGCCCATATGCCATTTCATCTTGACATCTGCCCTAAGACATTTCACGCTCTACCTGGGTTTATTGGATGGTTTTAGGCCTATCCTATATTTCCTTGGGCTTTGAAGTTTTTGTTGATTGTTTTTTGGGGTTTTCTGTGGCTTTGGGTTGATCAGACCATGTAACAGGGAGTCTAGTTATTCATGGGAGTAATGATACGTAAATCCTTAAATTATAATAAAACATTTAATATAATATTTAGAGTTTAAAAATTTTTATTACGTGAGTTATTGACTTGTTAACTAATGCCATATTTATTCTTAACGTCTCTAAATAATAACATGTGATGAATAAGTAATCTTTTCAATAAAATTTCAATAAATGAATAAAATTTAATCAATCAATCATGAACTATAATTAAATAAACCTTATAGAGATCATAGAGAGAGGGGGTGAGAAAATAAAAAAAATAAAAAAAATATTTATTTTCATATATATTAATTGCATCACATGTTAAATTTTAATTTACTTTATTGATATAAGATGAAATTTTACTTTAGTTAGCAAAAAAATTAATAGTATTAGCTTTTTCATTTAAAAAATGTTTAATTGAATGCAAATAGAAATTTGAGGGATTGGTTGATTGCAATAAAAAAATAAAATTAGATGATTTTTTAATTATAGTTTAAGGATTTGTTTTAACTCTTTAGACTTTAGCCAAGCATTAACCCTTATTTAGGAGATATGGGAATATGGAATATACTAAACCCTGCAACAGCCTTCATGTCTTGTAACTTTTGATTCATAATTAAAGGCAATTCTTTGGAAAACTATTTTTTCCCAAACAAAGCAGGAATGTTTGGATGCCACTTGATAACGTGCCTTCCACGTAGAATTCAAGAAAGAAAAAGGTTTCTCATTCCCTGGAACAAAAGAAAACATACAGATTCCTTGCCTTTTTTTTTTTTTTTTTCTAGAAAAAAGAAAGGGTGTTGAACCTTCAGTCTCAAAGGAATTGAAGAGTGAAGCTCAAGCAGTCAAGCTGAAAATTAACTCTTTCATGGAAAATAGTTTCAATAAATATTTTTAGTATATTTCAACTCCAGTCATTATCAGATTCAGAAGAAACCCACTAATATCTCCAAATGGCCTAATCCAATTTACCCAAATATCAGCAAATATGACAGCGGTCCGTAGCATCAGTCTCTTGAAAAAGAAAATATGGTCAGCACTCAGCTGCCTAATATCAATGGAACATCATCAAAGAATAGCAATTCGTACACGATTTCAATCCACTCACTAACATGATTCCTTCAGGGAAATTCTATCCAAAGCATAAACTATAAAAAGGTAATGATTTTCATTTCAAGAATTCCTACATGATCTTACTTTTTTTTTTTTTTTTTTTGTTTACAGTGTACCAGTCAAAATCAGATTTGTTATTGCTTCATATTCTGCCTTTTTCTTTCCCATAATACATGGCTATGCTTAAGGCTTTTAACCTATGCATCAATAGTTTACTTAACATGTAAGATAATGCTTTTCCAAGATTCAAATAATTCCTTAGCTTTCCATCTAAAACTGTAGAAATGTATTCCAGCCATTGAATTTTTAAGCTGCATCAATTGGATGAACAAGATCTTCTAAGGAGTACACTGGAATCTCAAACCACACTGAACAGTGTTTTACCCGGGTAAAGCATAAAGCAGCCACAATAGGGTTAATGTACTATGAGCAAGAATAATTCACCAAACTTAATTAAATAATAATACTCATTAAAGAAAAGTCCATTATCCTTTCTGCGCATCAACCAAGCCTGCAAATGTAAAATCTAGTTAAACTTCCCTTTAACAACAGTGTAAGTCTAGGTCAATATTTTTTGGCTTATGCCTATTCTACTATGTTATAGACAATATTTCATACAAGAACGACAGAAATTCATCTGAAAATTTGAGTGAGATCGGTCAAATATATTGATTTTCAGATTACTAAGAGATAACAGAAGAACAAGACAACTATGGTTGATACATTTGTTACAATAATACAGAATCATTCCAACTCTACAGCCTTTGTAATTTTGTATAATTACAATTTATTGAACAACATACAAGACACAACTTGTGATACATCAGAAGCTAACCAAACAGAACCTGAGAACTGGAGGGTGTCAAGTCAGATAAACGTTCTGGGGCATCAATAACATGCCACCAAACACTGAAGCTCCACTTCTTCCCAGAGCTGCCTGTTCGATTCAGGCTTGAGATATAACCCACAGCAACATGAAGGTTGCGACCCACAACATATATTCTGTTATCGCATACATTGACTGCAAAAGGTTTGCATATCTGCTCTGGTAATGGGGGACCTTCTATTGCTTCCCAGGAATCACTGTCTGGATCATAAACCTTAAGCTTCATTCTTTCAAGCTCAGAAACCACAAATAAATGCCCATAGACCACCACACTTGAACCAGTCCAGCCTTCTCTCAATCCCACAGCCATACTCTCCCAATTATTAGTTCTTGGATCATAAACCTGACCCCTAGGAGAGACAAAGAATGGCCACAACCAGCCTTCTGTCACAAGAAGCTTTCCATTGAGAACCGCAGAATCATAAGATGCCATATTTGTCCCCATGCTGGCAATTGGGTGCCAACTCCCCTTTGCAGGATCTAAGACCTCAGCTGAGTCAAGCTCAAAAAGATCTCCACTGTTTCCCCCTGCTACATAAATCATCCCATTAATCACTCCACTTGCAAAAAATGACCTAGCAGTATTCATGTTATTCATCACAGTCCAACGGTTTTTTTGAATCTCATACCTCAACACCAAGTCAAGGGGGCAATCCACATCAGAGACCATACCCCCACAAACAAAGAGAGCACCCTCGTGAGGAATTGAAACACACCTAAAACCATGGGGACAAACTCTGTCTTTGCACGGCATCGCTGGGATGGTGTGCCAAGAGAAGTGGGTAAGATCAAGAACCTGCCATTGAATTTTCCCAGTGCATTTGTGGAAGGCAAATACAAAGAGCCAAGGATCTTTGAAACCTAGTTGCTTCCTTCGGGTGAAAAACCGCTCTTTGTTACCAAGCAGAAGATGCCATCGCTTGCATACAGCTCTGGAAGCTGCATGGCTCTCAACTGGAAGCCGAAGCAGACAATTAAGGGCCACATCATCAGGAAGGCCGGGAATAAAGGGTTCTCCTTGAAGGGATAATTCAAGCTCTAACGAAGGATTTAACAATGAAGATTGAATCACAGCTAATCTAAATTTGGGGGACAATGTTATCTGAGAGTCCCCTAGTTTATGCACGGGTGTCTTTTGGGATGAAAATCGAACCCTTTGCATCTTTCTCTCAAAACACAACAATCTAAAATCCTTGAAGACTACCCAAAAGACCTTTTTTAAACTTGAAACTTCCTGCTGCTCTGTGTGATCAAATGGATTTACTTATGAATTGAACAACTTAAACACACAAATCCCAATCAAAACTTCAAAGAATCTATTCCAAGTTGGTCGCTACTTCTTTCACATTCACAGAGCAAACGAAGAATTCTTTTCACTGAAATTTGTGGTTGCACCTAAAAGGAAAACACGTTTTCCCCTTTACACAAAATCCTCGCAAGACTTTATCATAATTCACCAACAAATCCCTTCCTGAATGATCCAAACTCAAATTCCTATGCATCAAAGAGAACAACTTTAAATCTTTCTCTTTATGTATACCAGTGTGGCCTATCAAGATGTCAACTAGAGGAATCTAAAGCTATAATAAATCATGCCAAGGCAGAGAGAAAGATAACAACACTTAAAATCCAAAAAAAAAAAAAAAAAAGAGAAAAGAAAAATCAATAGCCCATATCATAGTATCTTGGATAAAGCACCAAAAAATCTAAACTTTTGCTCCTATCCAATAAGAAAACCAAAACCCCATAAAACCCTGCCATATATCTCATATAAATGAAGTATTTATAGCCTGCAGAGATTGATAATTCAGAAAAGAGGCTAAACCCAGAAAATATTTTATCCTATATAACTTAGAAACAAACCAGATGAGATAGCATAAAGAAGAAGAAAAGAGATAGGAAACTGATATGTAAGACTTACAAACAGGAGTTTTATTGAGTAATTGATATAAAAGATGGTGACTTTTTATGAGATTTAAGGCTGGTTTTAGCATGAAAGAGATCCCCTGGCCCTGACTCCCTTCCAAGGATTATTCCAGTATTCTCCTTAAAATCAAAGGAATACAATTATTATAACAAAAAAATTATACATTTATACTATTGTTCCTGCGGCTAACTAAGGGTTGATGATGATTCGGTTCGGTGTAGGCCCATTAAAACCACGCGCTAAATAAGTAATTTCAATACCGCTAATTGTGAAGAAAAGTATGAGCAAAAGGTTGGCAACCTGTTGGACACGCGCTTTTTAACTGCGGTGTTGGAAATTTTAAGCTTGAAAAGGACGATTATAGTTCAAACTTCAACACCCCTCCTTCCAAAGAAAATGTTTTGTCAAAGTCGTGGATTTCGCTAGGCATTTAGGCTAACAATAAAGTTGCAAATGAACATTTAGTTCATTGATAAATACATGTTTGGCGGCGAATTTATGATTTCTTTTTGTGTTTATAAAATAAAAAATTAAAATAATATATTACCATATTATTATAATTATACATGAAGAGTTTTTATATCTTAAAAAAAAAATTGATGATTGTTAATACTATCAAATACAGTATTTTTAATATATATATATATTAAACAATTATTCAACAAAAAAAATTTTCGAAAGTGTTACCAAAAACTTTTAAATGTTCTTATTTTTTAATTTTTAAAATGTTCGTGTTAAAAAATTTTAAATTTTTTAAAATATAAAAAATAAAAATAGATAAATAACATAGAAAAAAAAAGAATATGTTCAAGGAATATGTAATATTAATGGAAAAAAAAAAAGAAAAGCAATATTCAGTATTAATTACTTGACATTGCAATCGAATAAACAGACAATGCCAGAGAAATAACAATCTTTTATCAAGTTCGGTTCTTTTTAAAGAAAAGAATTTTGTTTATTTTAAATTTATTAAATATTATTTTTTAAAAATTAATTATATAAATTAAGTAAATTAAATCTAGAATCTTAATTATTTTTTAAGGGAAATGTTTATTTATTTTCAATTTAAAAATTCAAAATGTTAATTTGTATCATAGTTTCTTTTCAAGCAGTCCATATCATATTTAATACACTAACAGTAAAAAGTAACAAAGGCATATCATGTTTTGATATTTGTTTTTGATTTAAAAAAAATAACTTGATAATCTAGAAATAACCAACCAATGTCCCCAGCTTTAAAGAGAATGTGTGTTTTTTTTAATTTGGTGTTTAAGCTATAAAAGTAGTCCCTTTAGGCATAGAGACAACGGCTCCCTAGTGCAGGGGTTTTCAGCATCCATTTGGGGGAATAAAGATGCAAGACTAGCGTTGCAATTGCACGGCGATAAGGTTAAAAGGTCTTATTATTTTTTTTAAGAGTAAATATTGATAAAGGCAGGTATTTCATTTCATAGATTCATCAAAAGCCCAATCCTAGGGATATGTTTCAAATTTTCAAACACCTACCGCCACCAAACAATCCTTTTCAACCTTAATTGGTTTTCCACACTAATATATATTATTATCTTAACAAACATGTCAAATAACCAAAAGAGAAAAAATAATAAATAACCTGAAAAGGAGAAAACAAAAATAATGATATGATATGTAAATAAAAAGAATTTAAATAATAAAAATGTAATGTCTTGCATTCGTATTATTTCAGATTATAATTTTTTTTTCAAACTTTTTAACATATCTTTAACTTCAATTTGATCAAATTCTCTCCAAAGTTTTTTTTTTTGTTTTAATTTTTTATGAAAATTGAAAAATATTGATTGAATTTTGCACCGGGACTCAATTTCACTACTATTTTTTATTTTAAGTAATAGAGAAGATATCCCCTTTGCATTTGGACTCTTTTATGGAGCCTCATGTAGGTCCAACCAACATGTGCATTTGCAAGGAGTATCGTTTCCTAGCGTTACTGAAATTTTCAATTCAATGCAAAACTTTTTTCTTAAATGCGCCAACCTTTTCTTACTTCTAAATTCTTAATTTTTTGAATTTTCTTTTTTCATTATATAGTTTGGCAGAACATTTTTCTTTTTCCCCAAGGAAAACATTGCTCCTCTTTTTTTTTTTTTCTTTAAAAAAAAAATAAAAAAAACCCTTCTCCGAAAGGGGAAAAAAATAATAAAAGCATTCCAAAACCAATCATAAGAACATAGGTTTTATTTTATTTATTTTTTTAATCAAAGAAAATTTAGAGTGAGGAAATGCTAGCAGACCTCAAAGAAGATTTATATTAAATTTATAAATCATTAAAAAACTTGAACCTAAACCTTACAAATGAAATATTCAGAGCCTTACCAATTCAATCAACCCGTGAGGACATCACAAGAACGTAGTTATAAGGTATCAAATTGGCAACCTAGTCAAGCAATGAAAAGATTAATCAAACTTCACAATCCACAAGAGATTTCATAATAGATGACTTTATAAAATTTACCCAAACTGACTATGCACCTGTGAATAGTTCAGCAGTACATAACAACATTACATATTTTTCTTCTTTTTTTTTTTTTTTTTTTTGTAGCGGGGTGGGGAGGGAAAGAGACACCATTCCTTTGTTCGTCTACTATTATTTATTTATTTTAGAGAGAAAAACAAGACTACAGACGCAGAGACAAATCTACATCTTCTGGACCTTCCTCTTCAGCAACAAAACAAGCTTTGGATGCAGGAATTGAATCATCAGCATCCATGAAAAGTGATAGCTCTTTTTTCTCAAGATTCTCAGGTTCCACCTGAGCATTAGGGGCAATCTTAGGTTTTTTTGATACATTCATTATTTCAGCATTCCATGATTCGTCAGCTACATAGGGCCTCTTACCTTCCTTATCCAGGATTGAGCATGGAGGAGGACCTGGAGAAAGGGCGCAAACAACAAGAGATTCATTGAAGCTAGACAACTGATATGACCCCAAACCAAGGTTGCGGTTAGTTATAGCAAAGGTAGGATTTGGAAGCTTACCAAGATTATAACCTTGAACGTTCTGCAAGGCATCTCCAGAAGTTAGTGGTAAACCATCCCGGCTAATTTGAAATTCATCAGTATTAAACTGACAAACTCCATTTGAGCCCAAATATGAAGAATCTATTGAAAAGCCAGTAGCTACAACACTACCAGATGAAGCAAATGCAGCAGAAGATATGGCTGCATTGAGACCAGCTGGAGCAAATGCTCTTGAAGCCAAAATGTTATGGTGATAAGTTGCACCAATACCGCAGCCATATGAATAGTCTGGAGACATGATAATCTGAGTTTGGGCAACTCCAGGGTTGCCGCCAGTGAATTTGCTCCTTGCTTGGTTTGTTTCATTTGAGCAGAACATCCTAGAGAAGTCAAATGGAGGGGGTGCTCTAGTGAATGGTGTCGGCCTGTTCCCGCCAGCCATGGGGTTCAGTTGGCAGTTTGGTGGGGATGCAGGAGGGTTCCTAGTAATGTCCATGGAATTACTGGAATGACCAGGATAATTCAAGGTCCTCAATGTCTTATCCTCCTGATGAATCCTAAGGTGGCCAACTAGAGCTCGATAGTTGTTGAATACTTTGTTGCAATAGAAGCATGATTTAGTATCTGCATGCTTCTCTGCATCTTCTCTAGCCAAAAGGAAATTCATGGTAGAAACTGAGAAAGGAACACACAATTCAGCTCCTTTCAAGAAGAGATAGAAACTATAAAGCTAAAAGAGACCTTGTGATGGGGAAGGAGGCCCTGTTCTTAACCCATTTTATAGCCCTCTCAGGGCGAAGAAATAGGTCATAGTGGTTAACACCAATTAATGTAAACGACGATTATAATAAAAGCCATTTAAAAAAAGTAACCAGAGAAAGCATAAATGGGAAAATAAAAGTTGCCATTGGAAAGATCCATGCTGAAACAGCTTTAAAGTGGCCTTGTCCGCAATAACCCACATTTAGAATAGTCATAAATGGCCATGGAAAGTATCAAATATTGCTGCAAAACAAATGTCAAAACCACCAAGAAACGACACCAAGTATCACAAAGTCATGAAACAATTTGCCACCAAATTTTTGAGTGTCAGTTAAGGGGTAATTTTGGAACATGGAGAAAAACGTAAAAGGAAAGCGGATGCATCCAAGGCCTGCTCTCAATGTCATATCTATGTGGCCCGGACTTAATACCAGTGTCGGATACATGCTCAAGTTCAACAAATATTTTTCTTAATTTTTCTTGATATTTAGGAATTCCTACCAAAAAGCTAATTTCCATTCAAAGGTATCTCAATAGGCTGGCATTAATAAATTAGAGGAAAGCAAAGAGATGGAGTAACATAGGTCATGATTGCTACATATTGATGATCTAACCATATCCAGCAGCTGCAACATTGTCCACTCTAGAATATGAAATTTTCAGACTAGTGATTCATGCTCAATTTAAGTGTCAAGAAGGTGCATGTATTAGGCAGAGAATAGCAAACAAATGTCACAACCATCTATCTCTTAATGCAATGAAATCATAAAATCCAGTAACAAATGAGGCTAAACTATATTTATTATTATTATTATTATATATTGATCTCAATTGTTGCAACAAATCCTGTAGATTTAGAGCCATTCAAGAGAGAGAAGCAAAGAATGAACTAGCACGTAAGACTTAATAGATTTGAATTTTTTCTTTCCATTTTTACATTCTTTTCTTAAAGTAAATTGTTTTTCCTGAAGAAAGCAAAGAGCGACACTCCATACCAAATGCATCCAAGAGAAGCCCAAGGACAAGCAAAACAATCAACTCATTAAGGCCAAGACTGCCTAGATGAGATTCTTATAAGATTTTTTTCCCCAGTACTTATGAAGGTCCTTGTTGTGCGACAAATGCAGAAGCGTACTATCCTTTGTATCACGCCTTATTTTAGGAAAACCCTCTAATAGTACTAGAGAACATCCCAGTTACAAACTCTTTTAACAAGATTTCAATTAACACCAGTCAAACCTAAAACAAGGAATAAACATAGAGTATAGTAAAAACACATCCAGTATCTCCTTTCATAGTAAAATTTTATATTTATCTGATGTTCTTGTATCAAGACTGACATATCTCTTTCTTGAATCATGGGCTAACACTGAGTGAATCATGGGGCATAATAGCAAAACAGAAATGCCAGGAAGAAAACAATATATATTTAATTGAACATAAAAAGGTTTCCTCAGTTTCTGTAGTAACCACTTTGAGACATCCATAAATCCTGTGACAAATAAATTGAAAGAGTGTGGAGGATGTTTTACTCAAAAGAGCAAATATATATTTATGTTAGGTACTAGAGATATTTGAATCCACAGTGGAGTATACATAAGTAAACTACTTTAAAATTTAAACAGAAGTTACAACAAGTAAATGATGCTTTATTTGCAATTGGAAGACATCTTATTGTGCAAATCACCATAAGATGAGGCAACATCTGGTTAAAATGGTATTGCGTCTTCAAGAAGCTAGTCACACATGCCTGAAGGAGAGGAGTCCTAATTGTTAACACCAAAAATTGATTCATTCACCTCCCCCCACCCTAGCCACTTCTTTGTTAACTATTTACCAGTTCTTCAATAACTATAACTCTATAGTCTATCTCACTAAAATGATTATTGAAATCATATTTTTTTTAATCAGAGCCACAATCATATTAGCTTTTTTCACCTGTCCCTAGCCCTAGAACATCCAATAATTATCCAACATTGCAACCCCAATAAACAACAGCCACAACTAATCTGAATCTGTTATAAAATAATAGGAAGATAGTGAAGCAAATGCACAACAAGAAGAGGGGATCAGAAGGAACTAACAATAAAACTAGATAAACAATAACGCAAAAAGGTCAAAGTGGATTTTGAAGATATTCATTTAAGAGTGGAAGTTAAATTTCTTTTCAAGAATTTGATTAGTTTAACAGAATTAGATTTAGATATCAACAGTAACTTACCAAAATAAGGATGACCTAGGCATCAGAAGTCCCACTAAAAGAGGAACCCAATATTGATCATAGTTGATACCTGCAATTATTGAAATTATGTATAGCAAAGATAAGGCAAGATTTAAAATTTGAAAAAGATAATACCCGCACTTATCCAAAAACCGGAAAATAATTAGAAACTTAATTGCGTTCTTAGATGAGGGCACCAACCAGTATCATAAATATGCCAAAAGCTTATTACTAGATATCAAATATCTAAAAAGATATTAAGCACTTATCTTCAACACCTCAACAAATCATACCCCATTGTTTATTCCCTTAAAACTCACAGGACATAGGGCTTTCACAATTAGATAAACAGGAAATACCCTATCTAATTAGGAATTGTAGGTTTTTACTACTCTCAAATGAGGTTGGAATAAGAAGGGTGCAGCTTAGTTTTTACCATAGCTTCAATACATAGATGATTTTGCATCAAACAAAAGCTTACGTTATGCGTTACTATGAGGAATAATGAAAACCCAAAATCCCATTTTTTTTCACTTCCCTGGAAAAGACAAAATTTTCATAAATAGACAATTAGAATTCTTGCAGTCTTGCTTGCTAAAGTTCCATTTACGATACAACAACAGATAATTTCGACCAATACAAAAAGGCAATAATAATATTAATTATAAAAAATTTCCCAGGAAAAGAAAGATTATCAAAAACCTTCCCTACACCTTCAAGTTCACCGACAAGATAAAGAATGAAATGAAATAAAGCTTCTTACTAGGGGAAAACTCTTCAAGAGATGACATGGTATTCCTTATTATACGAGGAAATGATAATGCCCAGCTATTAAGAGATGGACGGAGAGAAAGAAAGCTAAAGCCACTGAGCAAAAGAATTTCCATTTTATTGTACAATTTCTTTGAGGGCCACGGCCAACGAGACCATTCACTTCTGAGATAGATCAAGTTATTTGGGCTCTTAATCAGATATAACAGGTAGATAATTGGGCCTAAAAGTTCACCACTAATTCCAGTTCTTGCCATGTTTGGGCCTTAACTTTTGCAGGCGGAACCCAGATTTACAACACTTGAAGCTCGGAACTAAATATTTTCCTTCCTTCACTTTTTGACTAATTACTCTAGCAAATGTGACATGCTAATCAAATTAATGTTAAGTTATTTTGGTTACTTGAGATTGTCAAGAATTAAATTTTAATAATTAAAAGTAAAAATTCAATACTTTATCAATATACTGTTAACAAAATTAATTTAAATTTATTTCTGAAAATCAACAAGAATTTCCTTTTTTTTGGTCTCTTAAGTTATGATATCCATAATTTGTTTGCGTGAAGGCACAGAAAAAAAACCTAAAATTTGGCTGAAGTAAATAAGAATTGGCAAGTGCAATGTCACCAAACATGATAGAAAATTATGTTTACACTTGATATAGTTAAAATTCAAAGACATTTTTGACTTTTGATTCATTTACTTTGATGACCCTGCATTAATTTTGATGCGTAGTAGTATTTGTCATGAATTTATTTGATATATAATTTCTTGAAAAGACACAAGTTTTGGCACCTGCAATGAACCATGCACCCGATCAACAGCAGTTGCCACATTCCTTTTCCAATTTATCTCCATATGGTCAATAACCCATATCATTAGCTGTGATATTTTTTTGATCCTTTTGGGTTTAGCCCATCATTCGGTTTCTTAAAGACATTTGTCTCAAATAGAGTTGTGTTAAATCCATTTTCTTAATCTGCTTATTTATTGTTCATTTTTCTTATAAGTATAAAGACTAAACAAAAAATTAGACTTCAATTTTTATTGTTTTGGGGTTGGTACTTGGGGTTTTGTTTTTCTTTGGTTGGTACTTGGGGTTTTGTTTTTCTTTCTTTTGCTCTCCTGTTAGGCTTAACAGGAGCTTATTCTTATTTTATATTATCTCGCTCATATATTAATAAATTTTATGCCTTTCAAAAAAAAAAAGAAAAAGAAAAGGAATAAACAAAAATTTTGAAACAGGGCAGAAAGGTTTTGTAGTGGGATTCCTACTTCTAAAGTTATGTATATGCCTACAACTACAAGCAATTTTAATATATTGGTAAGAGAACCATAACTACTGTTTGACACTTGACATTTGAATGGAAGGAAAAATTTTTAACCATAGGTTTTGTTTAGGAAATTTTCAACTTTCATAGCATCAATATTAGTCAATCATACGGAAAACAGGGGATGCAAATAGTAGGCGTTGACACAATTACTCTCCCTATTTCTTGTGAAGTGCCATCACTAGGGCTTATTGGTTTGGATATTTCTCACAAGATTATCATCTATATAATCAAATAATTTAGGAATCGAAATAAGAATTTTGATTAGACGGGGAAAAGTAGTTTCTTTGATCGCCAGTCACGATTGTAGTATATGTATCAAGAACAAGATTGAAAGTGAAAGCGTATGGATACAAAGTTGGTTGGGAACATGACATGGGATGGGAGAAATACTTGTTAACAAGTAGAGATTGGATATATAAGAATTATTTTTTGAGTTATGAGAAAGGGCAGAAATGTTTTTAATTGAATTTTCAGTCGTTTTGGAATGACTCGTTGCTAAGGAATGCTGCCATGTATGTCCTTTGATATGGACTACTCGTCGATACACCTGGGATGCAACTTGTTTGTTCCAGATAAGTTATCGTTCGACTTTGGATGAATCTGACATGGTAATATCAACATTGTTATATGCCTTTTTCCATGGAGAGATACATAAAAACTGAATTTGTGCTGCAACCGGCTACAAGAATCTATATCACACTTTTTTGTCCTGAAAGTTATGTCAAGTTTTTGTGCATGGCAGGATGGGGGTCGGCTACATGCAACGTTAATACATGCCAGGCATATGTATATGGCATTAACATGTATAGCTTAATATTTTTGTGAGGCTAATTATAAGGAAGTTGTAATATTTAGCCCTGGCTAGCTATATTATCAAATCTTATTATTTATCTCAAATGCATACATGATTTAGCATCCTTCGAATATTGCCATGCATGTCAAGATCTATTAATAAAGAAGCAAAGGGTGGAATTAATTTTCAAAATAGAAAAAATGAATGCAAAATCAGTTTGACTTTGGAGTTCAAACATTGTTGAACGATCAAAATCAATGAGCAGAAGTTTTAAAGAAATTTAGGCCTACCCTTTTGACGGAAAATAGCAAGTATATAAATATATCATATCTACTTCCACTGACCGACTTCTTGAAAAATTTTGGAGGATCATCACTTTTTTATATAAAAATTGAGGCAAATCACAAGTCTAAGATGTGTTTCCCATTGCAATAGAAGACCAAATGCTGTGGTTCATGTATCAGGACCATAAAATCTCTCTTAGATACTTTACCAAGAAAGCAAAATTGAAGAAACATGGAATATGGAGATAGAAACGTAGTAGTAGTACTGTAACAAATGTTAAGGAATAACGTGCGAATCTCTTAATTGGACTATTGCGTGACTCTTTCAAACACACTTATCCTTACATTAGATTCCACTATAAATCGTGAGAAACTAAGAAAATGAAAAATCTTGTAGGCTGTAGTGCTGAGGATTTGATTTTTTTTTTTTCCATTTTCTTTGTGATTAATGTCACTTTGTGGAAGATGCTATGCTTTGAGATGAAGAATCCAACCACCTCACATTGTTTCCATATTCTATGCATACCACGTGCTTACCAAACCCAAATCCCATTATGCATCTCTCTCTGTCTCCCTCTTTTTCTCTTTAGGAACCTACCTTTGTCTAATTCTCATCTTGGACTATGTTATCTTAATTCTATTAATTTGACAATTGTTTTCCATTTCCCTTGTTAAAACAACACTTTTATACCTAATTCATAGATTTTCTTTTAATCTTTGATTTGCTAGAAGAGTTTGACCCTCTTTTTACCGGTGCATGAATATAAAGAGCAAGAAAGCTGATAATTAGGAGAAAATGGAGGACCCCTCTTACCCACTTTTAGAATTTATTTCCTCTTTCTATCTCATTTTTCTTAAAGCAAATAGCTCATCTTTAATTAATTATTAGTTAGTTAAAACATAGATAGAAAGACAAGATAATTATTTTTATGGCATTTTGCCGTTAATTTTGTAAAAAATTTATATGGCATTTGAGAGCTTGTAAAATGGGTGATAAAATTAGATGGGTTTGGCAGTTGGTAGTTTATTTCTGGTCAGTCAGATCGGTTATTGGTTTTTCTTACATTCTTTTCGGCTACCATATATTATATTATAATATTATATTATTAAATTAATACTATATAGTATTGATTAAAGAAATTGATAAAAGAAGGGAGGACCACACGGTTTGCATCCCCATTCCCATACATTATTCACTTGTGAGGGTTGGGAGCTTTTGAAAATTTTAATAATTAAACTATATACATATGGAGTGAGAAATGGATTAAGAGACAACCAATTAGTCAATTTCCAATTATGAAATACCTACATCTTGGTTTGCTTAATCTTACCTGCCGGATCATTTGAAAAAAAAGAAATAATAATATTAATCTGACTAATATCAGATTAAGCCCAAAATTATAGTAGTATCTATGATTAATTTAGAATTCCTTAGTTTACATTTATTTAATTAGTTGTCAAATGATATTAAGTCCTTATAAACTGTAGATAGACTTTTTTTTTTGGTACAAAACTGTTGATAGGCTTGCCTTAGAAAACAAAATAACCAAAAATAAAGAACTCACAAAGACATTATGATATATATTTAAAATCTAGTTAAATTTTATCCTAAAATTTCAGTTTTGGCATAATTTAACAAAAGTCTATTAGTTTGAATGGAAATTCTATTTACATCCCATTTATTACTATATACACCCCACTTATAAATATACCCCAAATTCAAAACTCAATTTACATTTTCTACTAAATACACCATATCTTTCTCTCTCTATTTTTCATTCTAACTATTTCTCTCTTCTCTCTTTACTTTTTAAATCAAACTTCTAGAAAATAAATATCTAAAAAGCCTCAAAATTTCTCATCTATTCATTTTCGAGAAGACTCAAGGCTTCTTGAAAATCTATTTTTAAGAAATTCGATTTCACTTTGAATACTAAAAAATCTTAATTATGCACTTATGAACTCATTTACTTGATTATATGTGTGAATGAAATTAAAATCGATATTCTTAACATACATGACATAAACTTGTTTTTTCTCTTGACCCTCTAAAAAATTGAGAACACTATTTTTTTATTTTTTGGTTTTGCATGGACAAAAGGGTGTTTTTGGTTTTCTGGGCTTAGGATAAAAACATCTTTATACCCATGCATGCTTGAGAACTAACATGTCTTTTCATTCGCACATATAATCAAGTAAGTATAGGCACATCGATGATTTATGTGTATGCATGCATGCTAATCCGAGCTTGAACATCCTATAGAACATTGACCCTAACAATATTATTAGCAAACTAGCAAATCCAACAATAAAAACTTCTAATCTTTCGACCATCAATTCTTACTATCAGATTTGCTAATCTATTGATGATATTGTCAATGGCTTAAAGATTAGAGGTCCTAATTTTTTTGTGTTAAATACTAATAAATATATTGATTTATTTTAATATTATTTTATTTTAAAATTAAATTATTTATTTTGTTTAAATTGAAATTAAACATTATCAAGAATTTATAATTAAATATTATATTTAAACAAAATTTTATGTATTTTCAGAAATAGATTTATCAGAGTACAAAAAGATTTTCGAAAATCCATTTCCAAGAACTCAATAAAATTCTAAAAAATAGATTTTCAAGAGTTATATTTTGTTCTTAGTAATTTATTTCCAAGAATTATATTGCTTTCTTGGAAATGGATTTCTCATAAATGGATTTCTAAGCACATAATATAATTCTTGAAAATTTATTTTTGATATTTAAGAGGTGGT